AGTTTCCAAATTCTCAACAACCTATGTATGTTTTCCTAAAATTTATCCCTCTGATAATTTCCTGAGTTTGAGGGGTGTTTCTGCGTCTCCTTTCCACCTAGCACTCACAATTCCATTTTTCTTATTTTTCAAAAGTTAAGATTCCTCTTATCCCTTCACATATTAGTATGTTAATTATCCCAATTAGAAGAATAAAAGCAAACTTCCAAAACCTAAAACATAAGAAAATTTGAAATGTTGTTTCTTATGAAGAATGAAGTTTTCCTTATCAAGACACTTCAAACCGATGGTATAGCTTCTTGTCATGACTCTGGCATATAGTACATATTTCTTTTCATGGAAAATGTTAGCATTAGACAAGTATTTTAGCCAATACAGTGGTTTTGAATTCAGATATATACTAGACTGATGACCATATTTTTTTTTAAAATATATTCGTTTTGTTGTTAGCGCACCCTGAAACTACAGTCACAAAATGTATCCTAAAGAAGGAGAGAGTCTCACGACAGAAAAACTAAAAGACTATCTATAAGGAGTATCATTGGCAGTGATGTTTTAGATCATCTGGGCCACTCACTCACAGGATAGTTACTTTGCTTACCTATTTGTCTTAGATTTAAAGACATGGCCGGTGTTTGTAAAAATTAATTTAAAGGGGCTGGCATGGTGGTACAGTGGTTGAGTTTGTGTGCTCACCTTCAGCAGCCTAGTGTGGGCAGGTTTGGATCCTGGGCGTGGACCAAGTATTGGTGGTCAAGCCACTCTGTGAAGGTATTTGACATAAAAAAGAGGAGGATTGGAAACAAATGTTAGCTCAGGGCCAATCTTCCTCACATGCATACAAAGTAATTTAAATAAAAGTTTTATTGAAATGGATTTCATGGTCATTTTCCATAATTTGAATAATATCAACTGAATCTCTAAGCTTTTGATTAAATGTAATTAAAACACATACAATAGTACCATGTTAGTAAAATATTCTACTGGCAAGGTTCAATGACATCAACGATATGTTAAATTTTCTAAACTTTTTAATTCCATTGTTTTGGTCAAGGTGCCTAGTCTAATTGGAAGGATAATAACATGCTTAATTGTTATTTGACAAGACTTGGAAGTTCTTTGAGGTAACCTTTTCAGAAATTGATAAAGTGAGTGGTTCTAATGATTGTATAACAAACCGCTTCAAAACATATTAGTTAAAAACAAAAACTACTTATTGTATTGGTCACTATTGCATGAGTCAGTAAGTTAGTACTGTTAGTCTAATCCTGACATGGTTGATCTTGGCTTGGTTTGCTGTGCCTATGATATCCACTTCACAGGTTAGATGATCTAAGAGGCTTCACACCCAAGTCTGGTGGTTTGGCTAAATGACAGCACATGTGATGGGGGTGTGTGTTCTGTTTCTTATTATCCACTATGATAGTCTGTGATGGTTCATGTAACAGCTTTTCTAAGAGACCGTGAAAATTCCAAAAGGTTGTGAGAAAGTCACAAGGGTTCTCTGACACAATGTCACTTCAGCTATATTCTGCTGGCCAAAGCTAGTCACAAGAGAAACCTACATTCCAAGAGTGGAAAAACTGATTCCACCATTTGATCAGAAGAGTTGCAAAGGGGCATGGATGTGAGGAGGACTGGAGAATCCGAACAGTGTTTGCAATCTGCCGCACTGGGTAACGAATTCTTTTGAAAGAAATAATTTCCTGGGGCCGGCCTGGTGTTGCAGTGGTTAAGTTTGCATGTTCTGCGTCTCAGCGGCCCCGGGTTCACTGGTTTGGATCCCGGGTGCGGACATGGCAGTGCTTGGAAAAGCCGTGCTGTGGTTTGCGTTCCACATATAAAGTAGAGGAAGATGGGCCTGGATGTTAGCTCAGGGCCAGTCTTCCTCAGTAAAAAGAAGAGGATTGGCAGTAGTTAGCTCAGGGCTAATCTTCCTAAGAAAAAAAAAAAGAAAGAAAGAAAGAAAGAATTTCCAAAATTTTGGCCTTCAACAAAATTGGAAGGCAATCTAATTTTGTTTAATGCAGTATTTTTTAAAAAAAATTTTGATGAAAGATCATTGTGAGAAATTGACATACAACCTTGTTAGAGTTGAAAGAGTTGATTGACATTACTATTTTAGCACAATTTCTGACAAAGTTTCTATTCACATTTACCTTTAATATCACCAAATAGTCTCAGTATTTTCATCAATTAAAAAGAAGAAATAGGGGCCAGCCTGGTGGTGCAGTGGTTAAGTTTGCATGTTCCACTTCTTGGAGGCCTGGGGTTCTCCGGTTAGGATCCCTGGTGTGGACATGGCACCGCTTGGCAAAAGCCATGCTGTGGTATCCATCTCATGTATAAAGTAGAGGAAGATGGGCATGGATGTTAGCTCAGGGCCAGTCTTCCTCAGCAAAAAGAAGAGGATTGGCTGTAGTTAGCTCAGGGCTAATCTTCCTCAAAATAAAAAAAAGAAGAAATAGAAATGAAAGTGAAACCTCTTTCTTTCTAACATTAAGTGGTATCTTTAGATGGATACATTAATTGATTGAAATAGAAAATCCAAACACATATTCATAATATTTCTCATAAAAAGAAATATTTCTGAAAACAATTTAAATTTTGATTATGTTTTATCCAAATTTACAATGCAATTACATTTTTAATTATTGTATCATTACAAGGTTAACTTGATTCAGAAAGTAGAATTTTTGATTTTACCAAAAGATTATGATAATAAGAAATAAAAAGTATGACCATGAATAATAAAATTATAATGTTCAATAAAGCAAGTAGAATTGAATATAAATTAAGGAGAAGGAAAGGCACAAATATGACGATTTCAGATGTTATTTATGCTTTTTAGATGAATTATGCTAAGCAAAGGAAATCACACTTTTTGCTGCTATTTAAATCTATGATGAAATGTTTTATAGCTAAAATTAAATTCTTGAGATATACACCTTTTAAAAACTAGTTCAAAAACACATGATCAGTAAATGTGAATACTACTAATATGAGTCATGTTCTATATAGAATCAACCATAAAGAATCTGAAATGTCACAACTTGAAAATGAAAAATATATGATTGTATGTCAGTGTTTGGTGGAAAATGCAGGTTTTCGATTGTCTGCAGTCTTGAATGATTGCTTTAATTGTGTTGACAACCGGTTTTACATCATTGGCTAAGTCGTTTAAATGTTATGAACCTTGGTTTCCTCAAAGTAAAAGCTCAATGAGTTGTGTTAGTTGTACCACAAAGTGTGATTATCCTTGGTGCAAGCATGACATAAGTAAAATAAAATCTCTATAAATAGGCATTACCCATAACTGTTTCAATTTAAGATTAATATAAATAATTTCCTAATTTCAAAGAAAATTAAAAATTGTGTAATTGCCAGTTGTGCAGTGAAAGATAAATTTGAGAATACCCAGAGAAACATAGTCAATAGAAGAAAAATCATTCCATCATCAGACATCCAGTCTCTAAGACACTGTTTCTCACATATTTTATCCTCATGTATACAATCGCTGTTTAATTGATTCCTTATCAAATAATATACATAAATGAAACATTTTAATTATTGACCATAAATTCAAAATAATATGAACATTCCAGATAACTTTATGAGCCCAAATAAAATTTTTCCCCAGGTTGCTTGTCTCTTCCTTACTAAAACACTTGGAAATTTACATCTTCAATTACACTAATGATTTCTTTGGAATGTTATCCAGATATGCAGAGTAAAACGAAGGAGAAGGGTGTACAAGTTATTGAAGCAAAAGTGAGTTATTAATGTTGGATAGATCTATTATTGTTACTTTGCCAGATTAAATAGGTCTTGATGCTAATAACTATCTGGTTTCCATTTTATTTTGATTCAGGTTATATAGGCAGTTAGTTTTCAACACTTAAGGCAACTTCAAAAAGTTTTTTCTTTTAAGGAGTTCAGTTACAAAGGATTCAGAAATTACACTTATGTTCAGAAAAATAAAACATAAAGTATAGTTCATGTTTTGTTGTCTTTATAGGCATAATTATAGCATAAAATACGGGTTGGGTAGACACTTGCTTACGTTTTGCATATAAGATGTTCTCAGATCAGATCTAGCATTTCTAAGCCTTTGGTGGAGGCTCTCATAGTTTATACTGCCCCTCTGGAGTTCCTTTCAAAATACATTCAGGATGTAGACCTTGTCTTGCCAACTTTCCATGTATGTTACATAAATTGTATACACAAAAAAATCACACTCACCCACACACATACACAAAGATACACACATATGTGTTATTTAGTATTTGCAAAAGAAAAAGTTTGTTGGATCATTGACTCAATATTGCATTCGGATCTCCTTGATTTTGGCATGCTTTTGTCTCTGGAATAAAACTCCTTGGTGAAATGTACCTCCTAAAATTTTGTACATTTTTTTATCCAAGGAAAAGTTCAAACAATACTTACATTATGAAGGCATCACCCTAAAGTCCCTAGATGGATTTGAACTTTTCTCTCTCATATCCTCTGTGATACTTATTATATTCTACCTTATACAATGGCCACTTTTATACTGCCCTGCTGTCAACAGTGAACATTTCATTTCTTAAAGGATGAAGAATCATTTATTTAACTGCTATATCTGCTTTTATAAGAGAAATTCATGTGTTTATTGAAAGTCTAGTCTACTCCAGGTATGTTATAAGAAAAGAGATGAAATTATTTATTAAGCTTACAGAAGGTTTTACACATGATATCTATTTTGTCTTTTAATGTTCACAATCAGATTAGTAGCTATTTTATGTTATCTCAATTTTGTAGATGAAAAATTAAAGATGAGAGAGATGGCTGTTTTATTTTCCAGTAAGAGACCGAGCCAAGTTTAGTCTCTTTGAACCAAAATCCATGACCTTTCCATTGTACAACATTAAATCTTCAGAACTTTAAAGATATCTTTAAAATCAACATTTATAGACATAATTTATTTATGTGTCAGGGAAAAATTACACCAAAATAATTGCTCAATAAGAAAAAACTTTAGCGTGCATTATTTTGCTGACTGTATCTTTGACATCCTTATTTCTCAGACTGTATATCAGAGGATTCAACATTGGGATCACCACTGTGTAAAACACAGAGGCCACTTTGACTGTGTGCCTGGAGTTTTTGGAGTTGGGCACACAGTAGAGGAAGAGGATGGTGCCATGGAAGATGGAGATGGCAGTCATGTGGGAAGCACAGGTGGAGAAGGCTTTGCGGTGCTCACTGGCTGAATGCATCTTGAGAATGGTTACAACAATAAATACATAAGACGTGAGAATGACGAGTAATGTGCTGACCCCATTAAAGGTGGAAAAAATGAAAAGCAGCAACTGGGTGACATAAATATCAGAGCAAGAGAGGGACAGTAATGAGGAGAATTCACAGAAGAAATGATTAATTGTGTTGGGACCCTGAAATGATAATTTGATGGCAGAAGATGTGAGTATCAAGGAACAAGCTACTCCCCATACATATGATCCAGCAACTAGCATGGTACAGAGCTTCTGTGACATAGCGACTGTGTAGAGCAGAGGGTTACAAATGGCCACAAAGCGGTCATAGGCCATCACAGCTAATAAAAAGGATTCAGTTACTGCAAAGGTACCAAAGAAAAAGAATTGTACTACACATCCTATAAATGAAATGCTTCTGTCTTCCACAACTAAGTTCACCAGGGTCTTGGGAACAATGATGGAGGAATAGCAGAAATCCACAAATGAGAGGTGACTGAGGAAAAAGTACATAGGGGTGTGCAGTTTGGGGTTAATTTTGATTATTACAATCATCCCAATATTCCCTAAAACAGTGACACTGTAGATGGCCAGAAAAATCAAGAAGAGGGGGATTTGCAGTTCTGGCAAATCTGAGAAGCCCAAAAGAGTGAAGTGGTCCCACTTTTGTTTCTCTCTGGCATGGTTTCTGTTTGCCAGAATCTGACTCATTCCTGAAAACAAATATTAAGGGGAATGAGAATATAAAGAAGCTTGGTTAACTACCCTTACCAAGACTGGACAATGAAGCAAAATATGTCTGGGAATTTCTCTATTTTTTATGCAAGATATGCTAAATGTCTAAAACGTTAAAACATAGTAACTATTCAAAAATTTTCTCTAAGTAAAACCGATACAACCAAATTATTTTTTAGTTCTCAATTATACTTTTTAATATTTGTAAATAAGAATATGAAATCAAGAGACTTATGGTTATTTTAAATCAAATCCTCCCATAACACTTTCAGCTCTCCTTGAACATTGTAAGTTCAAAAAAGATAAGCTTAGCATAATACAATTACTAATTATATCAACCCTATAATCAGTAATAAAAATCAGAAATTTCTAAACAAATTGATTTTTGCATTATATATCCACACTGTGACATTAAGAATGAACATCCTTAACACTTTGAATTTGTGCCTTTATTGGTAATTCCATACAGCGCTTTAATCTTTGTTTTTCACTCTGACTCAGTAAATGCATTTTCAAAATTAATCTTAATTAATTTTTTTCGGAGAGCATGCTCCTCAGCTCAGGGAGTCCTAGATGTCAATCCTTCCTCATTGCTTGAGGAAAAATAAAATTTGAACAGACGATAAAGATAATTTAATCTATTTCTTTATTCTAGAGGGGACAAAAGAGAAGCTAGAACTTTAGTTTTCCCAATGACATGCAAAATAAGAACCAATCTACACATCTGTGACTAGATCCTAGATCCCCAGACTCCTAGCCCTGGATCTATTATATAACATCAGACTCTGATCCATGTTCTGATCTGGATACTAACGCATTTCCTTTATTAAATATTCATACTTTTAATTGACAAACGAGAGACTCTAAAACTGTGGGAAAGAGTCCAATGACAGTGTATGCGCCACAGAGTCATACTAAAAATCAGCATCAAGATGAAATTAGAATGGGATTTAGGGACACTTTCTCTGCCAAGAATAACTAACTATAGTAAAGACTCTCACTTAAAAACTCCCCTTTTCTAGGTCTCTCTCCCTCTTTCTTTTCCTACTCTCCCTTCAAGACATGTAAGGCAAGTATTAATTCTGTCTTTTATTATTTGTGAGGGAAAGGGATTGTAAATTGGATATAGTACTGCACCGTAAAGACATTTCATGAGAATAGTAATACAAAAGAACTATATTTCTCTAAATGGTTGTCAACACTTCTAACATCCTACCATTCCATAAAACTCTTTCTCTATCAGTTCTGGTAAGATTATCTCTGGTCCCACAGAAATGGATTTTAGATGGCTCATCAATAAAAACGTCAGATCCTAGGCAAAACTGAGATACTCAAGGACCCTATCTGTTTCTATATTCATAAGTTTGAGTATTAAAGACAACCTCAGTAGACAATCCATTGCAAAGCGAGACATCCTAATAATCAAAGTTTTTTCTTAATATGACATTTAGTTTAGCTAAGGCATTTAAGAATTCATCTTAAACTAATGTTATATTTAGTATACTGGCTCTTATGTCCCAAAAGCTATATAGAAAGTATGACAGTTGAAATCTTCTTTCTTATAATTCTTTACCCCACTTTGCTGTAATTTTTGCTCTCAGAGCACACACGTGTTTCCTGCTTTATAATCTTAATTAAAGCTGGTCTTCTTTAATTTTTTTCACTAGGATCTATCCAATTTCTGATTGTTTCATTTTATTTAAATATTCGTGTATTCCACCTTGACTCCCCTTCCAAAAATTTATAGAATCAAGACTGGGGGCTGGCCCCATGGCCGAGTGGTTAAGTTTGCATGCTCAACTTCAGTGGTCCGGGGTTTGCCATTTCCGATTCTGGGTGTGGGCCTATACACTGCTCATCAAGCCATGCTGTTGTGGTATCCCACCTAGAAGAACCAGAGTGACTTACAACTCAGATATTCAACTATGTACTGTGACTTTGGGGAGAAAAAATAAAGAGAGGAAGATTGGCAACAGATGTTAGCTCAGGGTCAATCTTAAAAATAAAAAAAATAAAAAAAACCAATGCACATTGCCTAGAATTCTCAGAGCTCTTCTCTCTCACCCACCCTAGCACCTGTTGTTCATGGGCTGTTAGTGAGGAGCTCAGCTGAGCCAGGCTCTCTACTAGAACGCTCTGTAGAATAAGTGCTCATCCTTTTCCTTTCATGTTCAGATATGTAACTTTTGCAGTGGCTAAATATTTCTCGAGAACTATCTAGATCCAAAGGGTGAATTCCTCTCTTCACATTGTTGTCTACACACCCCTCATTGAGATTAATATCAATCTGTTTTTAGAATCTTAAAACAAACCTGCTGGTGGTAAAGGGAAGTCCTTTGCAGGTTGAGAGTGATGCATGTGTTCTTATAGCTATAGCCACTACCTTTGGGACATGAACCCTAGAGAATCCTATTGCCCTATTCTCTTAAGGTCATTAAATAATCAATTAAAATCACTCAGTCTTCTCTGGTGTAATTCTTGTGTATTAGAAAACCTGGAGCAGCATGAGGACCATTTCATAAGAAAATTGTAAAGTCACTTCCCCCAGCCATCTGATCACTCCAATAACTTCCTACAATTATCAAAATTATGTAATTATAACAGTCATCATTATCAAGTAATAATTGAATGACTACTATAAGCTCGGCATAACCCTCTTCCTCTGTACCATCCACTCTCACCATATTGGAGAAGTGTGAAGATCCATCTTTTAGGTCATCATGATCCATTGACAGCTAAAGCAGAAATATATACAAAGTTAAATATTAAAATAGGAAAATTATCTAGTCCCTTTGAAATCTCTGTTCTATTCTATTACTCTTTCTCCAGCTCATCTTTGTTTTTGTTTCTTGCTTTTTGTTTCTTAAAAAATATTACTCACTCTTTCCTTAAGGTCTTTTCTACCACTTTTTTCTCTACCCTTGTGTGCTTTCCATTAAGTTTTTTCTCAAATATACTTTTTCAGTGAAAACTTCCATGAGCATACTATTATACTGCAAGGGCTACTCCACTACACAACTTAGTGTTTAAAGTACTTAACATGGTTCAAAGACATTTTTAATCATTGTTTATTTCATTCTTTCACATTGTTTGTTTCCCCCTGCTAGAATAAACATTTCAGGAAAGCAGAGAATATTTTCACTGATCTATTCTAAATAACCAGATCAGTAATGAGTGTAAAGTAAGTGTACCATGAACCTTTACTGAATGATACATATGACCTTCCAAGGAACTGGGACAAGAGCCAAACCTACCAGAACTATGAGGAATTTAGGTTCAGAGAAGAGATGGTTCACAAAGAATGATAAGGTTATTTTTAGAAGTGATCATTGAAACTGGGCAGTCAAAATGAAAGACAAGGAAAACAAACTAAAACAAAGGTTCACTCTGCTGGATTTTCTATCTCTAGTCAGGAACTAGGGAAAGAAGGTTGAGTACATAATGAAGCTACATAATCATTCATTTTTTCCTTCTTTCATTCATTCAATAAATATTTATTACAGGTTTACCCTGAGCTAAGTGCTATCTTAGGTATTGGAGAAAAAGAAAAACAATGTCCTTTTGTCAACAAATTTATTTGTAATGGGGGATACAAAAATGTAATAGTTTTACAGTAATTATAAATGCAAAAAACAGAAAATTGAAGGTGTCATTTTAAATAGGGAGGTCAGAAAAGACCATAGTGAGGTGTTATTTGAGCATAGGCCATTATGAAGTGAGAAAGCAAATTATTCAAATAACTAGGGAAAGAGTGCTGTTTGAGGCAAAGTTAACAGCAAATACAATTGACTTTCAAATAGACAGTCAGCATTTTTTTATGCTTCTCAATAATGTGCAGTTTGTGGTGATATTTCATGCTTTCTAATCTCCTTCACAAAAATATAACTTGAATATTTCAGGATGACATTATTTATGGCAGAAAGAAAAAGATGATAGCCAATCTGGGTATATTGGTAGGTGTCTTTAAGCTGTGTTTATGCCACTGTGTTAATATTTCTTTGAACAATAACAAAATATGTGATGCCATTAGCTGAGCACTTTTGCAGTACATTTTCATTAATAAATTAACCTTAAATAATTTCATGTCTGCAAAATAATCTGGGATGATATAACTTAAATAGATTTATCAATGTAATTTTTAAACCAAGTCTTTTGAAGATGCTGAGGAAAATAAAAAGTACTTCAGCTAAGGCTACAAGCCTCCAAACAAGGAACTACAATAACTGCTTGCTATACTGAATTTTTTCCGTACCAAATGTATTTCTGGCCAAAAGTGCTGTGTGCAGCCTGAAAAACAAGACTGTATGGTGTTCTCTGTCCCAAAGGATCAAGACATTGCAGGGACAATGAGTCCCTGGCTTCCAATCTCATAAAATTGAGCTATTTGAAATATAATTATATTTGTAGGACATTTTATTTCCCTATCAATCTACTTGCTAAGTCATTAATAGGAGTTTATGAAAAATGTAACCATCAGTAAAGTGAACATTGATTAAATACTCATGCCTAAATTGCACTTAAGAAAAATAATAACATATCCTTATATAATTTAATACCAAGCCCAAGTTTAAATTTCCACAATTGTCTCGAAGACATATTTTTACACTTATTTTGAGTCAAGAATCAAACAAATTTGGTTGGTATAACTAAGTCTTCTTTAAAAGGTAATCATTTCAGGAATTATGTAACATTATGTTCTGCTTATTGTGTAACAGTTCCTTGTGTGTTTGTGTGTGTGTACCCATGTGTATATTCAGATAATTGTTTCAAAAAGTTGGACCATTTGTAGACTGTTGCATGCTCTGTATTTGGCTTATTGCTTTATTTGTTATCATTTGTCTTGTTCCTGCAACAATTCTTTTAAACTGAAGCTCACAGCAAGAAGCTTTATTAGTTCAAATTCACTCTTTTAGTTTCTTTTAGGCAAGAATACATCATAGGTGTTTCTGACTACTGCCTGTCACATCAAAGTGTGAGGTACGTGTTAACTAGTTGTCTGACTTTGAATGCTGCTTAGTCTGATCTTTGGATTCAGGTGGTGTCATCTTGATGACATACTTTTAACTTACATACTTCCCCACCAACTTTTCACTTAATTAATAGTTATTGAAATCATCACCTTGATCAGTTTTTTTATTAGGTATTCTAAAATTGTGATATTCTAATTTCATTATTTTTTTCTGTTCTTATTTCCCATCATAAAATGTTAGGTAATCTTGATATGCAATTCAAAAGGAAACGCAGAATAAATATTTATCTCCATTATTTACCAATTTTCACAGTCATGACTTGATACCTCCAGTTACTTTAATAGTAACCAGTGACTTACTACTTTTATTATCTATACTTAAATGTTTACATTTAAATATATTTGATACTTTTAAATTAATTTCAATCAATATTCATTATTATGTTAATGTTAAGCCAGTGGGAGCCATGTCAAATTGCCTCCTATGTCTCTTTGAAATGATACAGCTAGCTACTGATAGCATTCTAACTTTCTGGAAATTACGCTGCTCAAGGCTCATTACATTTTCCACTTCAGACTTCAAAATAGCTATTTCTCCAAAAAGCTCCAGCTCTGTTTAGAGAGTAAATATTTCCTTTCAGAGAAAATTTTGAGAATACGAAAGCTCATTGCTACTGGGCCATCATTTTGAGTCGTACTATTTTTAGATAAAAATATTGTTTCAAACTAAAGTACTATTTCAAACTAAGATGAAAAGATTTTTGCTTACCTTATTTTACTTTAGAGCTGAAATTCTTCTTTTATGCTTGCAACTTACTTTCAATATTTCCATAATTACTTATTAACTTTATACTAAAACAAGCATTGCATAATGAGGAAGTACACTCAAAAGCTGTGTTTAAAGTCCTTTATAAAAAATATTTTATAGTGTGTGATCATGTGTAAACATTGTAAATAGATTCATTTGCTTTTATTTGTTTTCGAATGTTGGAGATTTCTGTTTACTTTTTGACATAAATAAATCTCTTTTTTTTAAGATTTTTAAATTTTTTTTCCTTTTTCTCCCCAAAGCCCCCAGTACACAGCTGTATATTCTTCGTTGTGGATCCTTGTAGTTGTGGCATGTGGGATGCCGCCTCAGCATGGCTTGATGAGCAGTGCCACGTCTGCACCCAGGATTTGAACCAAGGAAACACTGGGCCGCCTGCAGTGGAGCGCACGAACTTAACCACTCGGCCACGGGGACAGCCCCTAAATAAATCTTTTAAACTGCATAAAATATTACATTTCCCCCAAATCAGAGCTATATTACAAGGTAATATACATATATTACAAGGTAATTCCCCAAAATTTTCTTTCATCTCTTCTTAGCTATATTAGTTTTTGTCTTACCTTTTGCTCTTCTCTCACAGAATTTATCATACTATAAAATCTTTCCTGTGTCTGTTTTTATTCACTTAAGAAAATTTTCCAGAGGATACCCCATAGCAGCATCTAGAAAACTTCCTCTTTCCATTTTCACTATTGTATACTTCTTTACCGTAACCCATAGTTTAATCAATCAACATCGAATTTGATTTTATCTAGTCTGTTGTTATTATAAATAATCCTTGTGAATATGTTATTTATATACTTTTTACTACCCTATCTTTGGGATAGCTTACTAGAACTTGTGAATATGTTATTTATATACTTTTTACTACCCTATCTTTGGGATAGCTTACTAGAACTGTGAATGCTTTCAAAAAGGATAAGTGCGTATGTAATTTTGCTGGAACTTCAAATCACATGTAAATGTTACCTTCCTGCCCCCAACATATAAAAATGCCTGTTTCCCTGCAGATTCACTTAGAGGACCTGTCATTAAAGTTTTGGATTTCTCCCTCTCTGAAAGGGAGAAACCATAGCTCAGGTCAGTTTTCATTTGTATTTCTATTATTATGAGTCAGGTTGAACAATTCTTCATATTTATAAGGGCTATTTGTATCCCTTTATACAGACTATTGTATTATATCTTATGCCTTTTTTCTGTAATATTTTCATTTTCTTCTATAATATATGTGACATAAGTGGTTATATTTTCTCAGCTTTTCATTTGTCTTTTCATTTATTTTCTGTTGTTTTCGGCAATGTTTTATATATTCATATAATCTAAATTTTAAATTTGCTTTTAGAACTCTTTTATGGTGTGTGAAATAGAAATAGACCTAATTTTATCTTTTTCTCATTTGGCCATTTTTCCCAATATGATGCTGTTTTAATAATAGGAAATTTATAATTTATTTTAAATTCTATAGGGTTAAACTTCCTACTGTAATTTGCTTTAATTTGTAGGATGTTTGTTACTAGAAACTTGTGCTTTTTTTGTCATTCACATAAACATTAGAACAGAAATTTTAAAATATGATTCCTCATTATTCCCAGATAAAATGTATATTACATTCATCTTGATCCTAATACATATGAACTAGACTTGATAACACTTGTACGAATTTCCAGACCTGACAGTACTGGGGATGCAGCCTTTTGAGTAATAATATCCAAAAATAATCTAGGAATATTGAAACGGCTCCAGAGATTATCCTTTCCAAAGGACAAAGCTAACTCCAGTGACCTCTCAGACTAATAGCCTCAGAGGTACTAGAGTGAAAGGGCACTAGATTTAGAGTTAAGAGAGTTGAGTTCCTGTATTAAATTAATCGTCTGAGTCATATCTAGGCTAGTTTCTTGAACCTCTGTGTCATCATCTACACAATAGATGTAGCTGTCCCAGCCCAATGGACTGCTCAGTTTAAGCTGACCGTTGGAAAGCACAAGACTGTGCTTTCGTAGAATTCACAGAACTCAAGGAATGAAGATGTCAGAAAAGTATCATCCCCCCCTTTGCTCATACGACATATTCATATGTATGTCCCAACAAAGACACAATGCTTCAGTGACAAACAACACAAATAACCTCAAAGAATTTCAGTTTACCAATTCACCATATATTAACATTAATAGTTACAGATAAAAACCTCATGCAAATATATGCTATAGGTTTTAGAAAGCTCTGTTCCCATTGTTCTTTGACTAAAAACACCTTTTGAGATTGGTTCCGTGAAATGGAACTTTTGTGTCTACTAATTGCTGGAAGGCATCCTTCACATCTTTATTCATCAAGCTTTAAGTTAGCGGGTTCAACATGGGGTTGACCACCGTGTAAAATACAGAGACCCCTTTGAAAGTTTGCTGACAGTTTCTGGAGTTGGGCACACAGTAGAGGGAAAGAATGGTCCCACAGAAGATGATCATGGTGGTCAGGTGGGAGGCACAGGTGGAGAAGGCTTTGCAACACCTGCTAGAAGAACTTATGTTTAGTACAGTCACAAAAATAAATATGTATGAAGCAAGGACAATGAGTAGTGTACTCACCTCATTGAAGGTAGCAAAACCAAAGAGCAGTAACTGGGGAATGTGTATATCAGAGCTCAAGACAGCAATGAGAACAGTATAGTCACAGAAACAGTGGTTGATTATGTTATGTCTACAAAAGTTTAGCTGGAGAGTATAGCTTAGGAGTACTAAGGGGCTAAACATACCCCATAGATATGACCCAGCCACCAGCAGGGGACCGAGACTTTGTGACATGGTTACTGTATAAAGCAGAGGACTACAGATGGCCGCAAAGCGGTCATAGGTCATCAGTGTCAGTGAGAAGGACTCACTCACCACAGCAGTGCAGGACATGAAGTACGGCAACATGCAGCTAGAGTAGAAGATACTTGTATCAGCCATGACCAGGTTCTCAAGCAGCTTTGGAGTAACAGTGGAAGAGTAACAAAAATAAAGAAAAGAAAGGTGGCTAAGGAAAAAGTACATGGGAGTATGAAATTTTGGGTTAATCTTGATGATTATTATCATCCCAAGATTTCCTACTACAGTCATAACATACATGATCAGAAACACAAGGAAGAGAGAAATTTGAACCTCTGGGAAACCTGTGAGACCCAAGAGGGCAAAGCTTGTCTCCACACTCATATTTCTTGCAACCATCACCAAAATGCCTTTGAAGGGAGGGGATGGGGGAAGAGAGCTGTTCCTGCCAAAGGGGAGATTTATGGAGGTGAGCAATAAACATATCATGACTTTCTATGATAGACAAAAAAAGAGAAGAAAGAGTTATTGGTCCCAGTTTCTTCAATATAGAACATGTCTCATGCAGATAACTGCTATGGATATACTAAACCAAAATGAGTCTCTGAAATGTCTTTACATATCTGTTGCAATTTGTGTTTCTGTAAGAAATACCACATTGTGATGTGTATATCCACACATTAGTTAGTAGCATAACATGCACATAACTGATGGGAAATGTTTGTATAAATGCTTAAACTAGTGAAGCATTCTGTGAAAAAATATGAAGTATTTGTCTCAAAGAACAACATATATTTTATATTTCTAATATATATTTTGACCATGTACACAAACCAATTAAAATCTTCAAGAAAATAAGTTTCTATTTTAAGGATAAAGGAAAATATTAGAACAATCTAGGTAAAGAATACATGAATTCCATTATAGCACCTTTTGTTCAGTAAAAGTTACTTCTCTCATGGAATAGATTAGCTGCTGAGGTGTTGAGGGAGACCTCTGAGTGAGGTGCACATTTTGTTAGTGTTTATAGTCTAAGGGTTAACTTCTATTACAGCCTGGGCACTGTATAGATATCTCTTAAAGGTCTCAACATTTATCAGGTAAGAATTCTCTCAGAACTAACTCATTCTCATTCTTGTGAAAGGTTGTATACCAATCTAACATGCATGTAAAGAGCATATGGATAAATATCCATCTCCAGGTGCAAAGTTGGGTCTATTATTTGTGAAATGGCTGTCAATGGACTTGAAGCCAAATATTTCCTTGAGTGTTAATATCTTTCTTTAATATTATTGGAGTCAGAATCGAGTAGCATTTACAGTGACTTAACATAACAAGAAAAATAAAAGACCCCAGTTACCGTATCAGCAAAACAATATTTTACCTGCTTCAGAGACAATCTGAGTAAACTTACCTGTTAAGAAAAACAGGCCACCATCCAACTTTTTGTCTGTAAGCTGAGTATTACTGGGTCTCCAAGGCTCTTACATCTAACTCTGTAGCCCTGGGGACTCAAACTCTGGAGAATCCCTAGCAGCTTATTCCTCACAACCATCAAAACAAGGAATTAAGGCAAGTGCCAGATCCTTTGCACTATTTTTAATGTCTGGAATTTCCTTGAAATTACACAGAAAAAATGCATCTTGAAATTGACTACCAGGCCTTGTTTGCACTTAATTAAAATGCCCTCTGGGAATTAAAACGCTACAGTAAGGAAGTATTTCTCAAATCCTGCCTCATCTACAACAAAATTCAATTGGCCCATTTCAATTTTGTGAGCAGTATACACCAATTTCAGGCAAGTTACTCCAATCTATTTATGAAGTTACCCAAAAAATTGTCCATTTTGAGTATATGCCAAAACAAGGGAACACTTTAACAAGTCCTGTCTTCCATGCCAGCTGCTGTGCTATTTGGACCATATGACCCAACGTATATGATTTTCCTTAAAGTGTGTTTGCAGGTGAGGATTGCACAGAACTTTGGATAAGCCCGTATAGTGAGTAACGGATCAGACTTTTAGGATTTTTCAAGCAAAGCCATAACTTCCTCTGCATATAATTATCCATCTTTTGAGAAACAGCTTTTGATTTTTTAATAGACCTTAATACAGAGAATGATGATAGGTTACTAAGTTACTATGCGACCTACACTTCCCATCATAAACTGGCTATTGTCTATCTCACTAATTGATAATGGTAGGCATGCACACCAGTCAATAGCCTTCCTGTTCTTGAAGATGGAAGTAAATTGCATGAACAAGTGGTCCAGATGCCCATAGTCCACACTCCTGTTGTACTGCTTCCTCCTCAAAAGTCTGAACATTTTGTGAGGTATTACCTAGAAAAACTTGATTCTTCAAAGCCTGGAGTTGTCATGAGGTGTTCCTTATGAACACCTGAATATGGAAGGAAGTATTTGGGATTTATTTTCAGATAATTCTGCATGATATTCTTGCACCACACAAAAGTGGACATTTGCAGCACTATAATATTTCATTGGGATGTTCTTGAAAGACATTGTCAAAGGAAAATTCATCTAGTAATCAGAAATTCAAAAAATGTGCCTGGAACATTGGAATGACCTTTTTAAAACTAAATTATGTGAAAGGCTCTGTTGACAATACTTTAGAGGGATGGAATAACCACCTCCAGAATGTGCTATATGCTGTAAATCTGAAACCAGTATATATTGCTCTTTCTCCCATAATTTATGGGGCCCAGAATTTGTGGGTCCAGGGTGCAAATAGAAGTGGATCTTCCACATATTATCCTAAATGATTCAGCAGGTAAATCTCTTCTTCCCATAAGTGAAGCTATGAGCTCTAGTGGTTTAGAAGAGTGATGCTTCCACTAGGAACTTCAATGATGGATCCAACAAGCTGGAAATGTGACTTGTTTGACCAAAATATGTGGTGTGGGTGATGTTAAATAGATTCAGGAATAGAGGCACCAAGATGCCTTACAGCTTATACTTCCAGTCTCTTCCAACACTGTTCTGAGATCACCACACAAGGAAGCCAGTGTAATCTACCATAGATGAGAGACTGTGTGGGACAATACTGAGTCACTTAGCCTATAGTCAGCATGAAATCACCTAATAAAATGGTAAAATAATATTGGCATCATTTTAGTCCCAGCAGAGCTCCCAAATGATTGCAGCCACATGATGAACCCAAGTGCGACTGGCAGAAGAATCATGCAGTCAGCCCACAGAATGGTGAAAAATAACAAATTGTTTTTAGCCCCAAAGTTTTGGGTTGTTTTGTCCTCAGCAAAAGGCAAATGAAAGCTACACTTTCAACTTTAAACCACTGAGAGACTGAACTGAAAAAAAAAAATGAACATTTGCCTATTTTTTAAAAAATATTACAGTACAGATTGGATTAAAGACATTTTCATAACCTTCAGCCATCTCATTCTCTTCTCCCTCCTCAGTGATAACCTTCATGTTTAATTTGGTCGTCTTCATTCCCATGATGTTATTTATTATATGTGAATACCCATAGCAAATATATATTATTCATTGCACTCTTGAACTATATAAATAATATTGAACAATATTTCTGAGATTTATAACTGACTGGTATATTTTTATATACAATCATTTTAACTTGTCCAGTTGTGTGAGCACAACCATTATTTTTATGTGTATTTAGACTATTTCCATTTTTGTCATTATAAGCAATATGCAACTTAACATTTCTATATATCCCTTTTTGTGCATATGTACTTGAGTTTCTCCAGAGTAGGGATTTGCCACAATTTTTCATGTCATGGTATACACAGAAAATAATATTTGGAGGATTCATAGGATAAATTGAAGATGATTTGCTTTATATATTTTCCAGTTTTATCACTATTTTATTGACTGTCTTTTCCTAATTAATTTGTCATAGATATTTCTGTATTGTGAATATTGATCTTTAGTCAGTTAAGTATGTTGCAAAATTTTTCTTTCGTTCTGAGGCTTCTCTTTTCAATATTTCCATATGTTTCAGTAAAATATGCTTTACTTTTAATATAGTAACATCTACTTTGCTTTCTGAATGTTTGCCTAAATAAGAAGTCATAAAGAACTTCTCCTTTATTGACCTGAGAGTTCAATTTTTACAAGAATTATGAACTGAAACATTAGTATAATATGCATTGTTTACAGAGAGATTTCCACAGATATTTTGAAGTGTATTTATATATTTCAAATACTTTTTCTTGGGAATTGTGCATAATGATTCCTGAAACCTAAGCATTTTAGAGGTAATATACTTCAAGAGTAATGATAGTGATATGCTCTTTCAACCTTTCCAATAAGCTAAAATTATCACTTTGCCAGTGCCCAAAAGAAATTTAGCCAGAAATATGTGGAATGATCTAGAAGTATTTTGACACTTAATTCAAGCTATAAAAAAGTTCTCCCATCACGGTGAACCGGGATCATTCCAATCAGGAGTCATTATTTGTCAATTATATCCAGAACCCTACAGGTGAGTTTCTGAGTCTATGCAATCTGAATGAACCAAAATTGCCTTCAATATTAATACTGAATAAATTCTTTAATTTTTCTGAAAACTGAATTTAGCTCTGAAAGAAGAAGACTAAGTTGAATGTGACTGATTTTCAAAAATTAATTTCATGCCTAATTGTAAGAGATATTGTTGATGATGGAAGCATCATTTTTGTGGTTCTGACAACTATAAGATAGGCAAGTAGTTATACAATATCTAGCTAAAACCAAATACTTAAAATAAGACATGAAAAAATTTCCACAGTACAATAATCAGCAATAGAAGCATTCATATAAACAAGCAAGGTCATCTTTGAGTATATCATTCCTGTTTGTTTTGGCTTTTTGAATCTTAAGTGCAAGCTATATTCATTGAGGATTTATCACGCCAGTCTTACCTAGTTAAACAAAACATAATACTAAATTTTATCAATTTAGTCTGAACGTTTTCTTTCTTTCTTTCTTTTATTCATCCAGTAAGTATTCTAATGTGTTTCTAGGCACTTTTTTAGGCATTAGAGATACAAGATACAAAAATAATGCAGAAACTTTTGCCTTCTTGGAATTTATATTCTACTGAGAGAAACAAACAACAGAAAAATAAATGACTGCCTACATTTAAAACATCATCTATTGCTATGAAAAGTTGTAATTCAGGTTAAGGGGATAAGGAGTGACTGTCTCATTTTATTAGATTTTCAGGAAAAGACACTCTGGGAAGGTGATATTTGAATAGTTACATAAATAATTCATAAGAATATATTTATTAAAATTGAATGCAAAAATACTTTGAAGTCTAATAGCTTGTTCACAGACTCTTTCACACTTTTATATCTCAAGCTATAAGTCAGTGAGCTCAGCACGGAGATTAGCATGGTATAAAACACAGACCCTAC